CAGGCCCTGATCTTTCCGGATGCTTCTAAACACGCCCTCACACACCTTTAGTCACACTTGATTCTGTTGGCAAAATTCACTAGAAGGTACAAGAAAGGTATTGTCCATCAGTGGGTGATCTGGAGACAGTGATACAGTGCATGAATCAGCAACCTCTTACACTTTTAAAAAATGAAACAAAAAACTAGACGGCTTTGCTGGAGAATCCAGAGAAGGGAGGGAAGAGCTTGACTGCCAGACGGACCAACACCTTAATTTGTCAGGGAGGCCGTTGTTGTGGTTGCTCCATCAGAAATCGCTTGGGAGCCTAACTGGTGAGACAGTCCGGATACGTTTCTATGTTCAGCTTGATTTCTCTTCAGACCGTACAGTGTTACTCCACACGACTGAGGGACTCATTCATTCAGCTGGCGGGCAACACTCACTTTCGAGCAGTCGTCGAGACCGCCTCTTTAAAGTCTCGGTTGAGAGGTCAGCTTTGCCTTCAGGTTTTCGGCAAGTTTGTCCAGGAAATCAAATGTGCTCAAGTAGTCAGAGCGCTGCACGCTGAGGCGGGAAAAGAAAAACAAAAGAATGAATGTTGAGATCGTGTGCAGTAAGCCACGAGAAAAACCTTTGCACAATTCATGCAGGTTATATGGAATTGCACTGTTCTCAGTGAAGGCTTTGAAGCACCTAGCGCTTTGCTCGCAAGACTCCATTGCTTAGAGGGAACATTGGCGCTGACATAGCTTTAGTATTCCTCCTGAGCTTGAAAATGCCAGGTGTTCATACCCCTCTCAGCCCCACATACTACGGGGCAAATCTACTATGAAATGAATGAAGCTTAAGCTTGGTGGCCCCTAACCCTGGTGGGGCCCCAAAGCCACTTTTTTTCTCATGAGTGAATTTTTCCACACAATTGATAGAGTTTTTAAAAGTGTTTGTTACTAAAATAAGGCTATGTTAGTGGCAGAATCATACGCCAGTGGGGTGAAGTACTTAATACTGACCTTAGAATATGCTCTAATACCCGTTTCACAGGGCCTCAAAATATCACTGTAATTGGTCAAATTTCAAAGTTTTCTCCGGGGGCTTGCAGCACCGGAACCCCCGGCCGTATGGGTTCACTGAGTTCGCCAGAATCTATTCATAGCCTACACTTGGGCAGCTGGATCCTCAAATCCTTCATTGGTGCATGTCTTAATAGCTCTACAGCTCAGCCCTTAGCCAATCAGAACCATAAAACAACATTTGGATTCTCGATTCAGGGCGCACGAGTCTCACCTGCGCATTTTAACACCAAAACCCAGATTTTTACCTCTTTATCCTAACAAGCCCTGCCCCCTCTGATGACTATTGTTGCTGGTTGAGAAGGGGGCCCCCATAGCAGTTCAAGCTTCAGGGTCCCAGAAATGTAGGTCCGCCACTGTGCATACTTACTTTGGGAGCCCTTTAATGCAAGCAGCCAGATCTTTCGTCATGGAGCCGGCCTCGATGGTCTCCACGCACACTTCCTCCAGGGCGGTGGCGAAGTTCTGGAGCTCGGCGTTTTTATCCAACTTAGCTCTGTGAGCGAGACCTCTGGTCCAGGCAAAGATAGAGGCTGGCAAAGGGAGACAGACGGAGAGATGGAGAGATCAACCCACCATGGAAATAACAACAAATGATTGTCTAGGCTAGCCTCCCCCCCCACACTACTTGGGATCAAGCAAACAACTCACTTAGCCCTACCAACTCTTTTTTTTTAACAAACAATTTATTAGGATATATTAAAAAGTCAAACACATCTCAAAACTTACATTATTATACATCCCTCCTCCCTTTTCCCCCTCCCCCTTTCAGGCTTCCCACAGTGCTCCAACCTCCAGCCCACATCTTAAGTTCTCATCATAACTCCTTTTTGTTACTTTCCACATCTACAGGTAATTTCTCTTTCAACTATTATTCTTATATATTTATCCTTTTTTCTACTAACCTTTAATTTTCAATAATTATCAAAGCAAAAACAAAGGCTCGCCTCCCCCCCCCCCACTACTTGGGATCAAGCAAATGACTCACTCAGCCCTACGAACTCTGGGTTAGGAAATTCCTGGAGGTTTGGGAAGGGAGAAGACCGGGAAGGGTGGGGTTTGGGGAAGGGAGGGACCCTCAGAGGTGCCTAATGCCATAATGCCCGCTCCCCCAAGCAGCCCTTTTCTCCAGCGGTTAAGGAATAAAGAGAGAATCACGGAAATAAGCTACCAAAAAAAAAAAAATTATGTCGTGAAAACTTACTAATTATAAACTCATATCTTATTGTAATTAATAAATGCAAGTTATAGAACTATTTTTGTGTGTATTGATTATTAATACTTATGCAATACCAGGACTGAAAGTTCCAGTGCAAATTTGTAGACATTCAAACGCATATCTGGCAACCAGTCACAGTAAAGTGCAAAAAGTGCCATTTCGACGTTCAGTTCAAGTGTCCTATTTTCAGAGAAAATGTAGAAATTCCATGCGGATCCAGCTGACGGGAGGGCTAGCTTGTGGATCAAAGCCGGTATTCGCTTAAGAACCCATTCATTCAAAATTTGCTCCATTGGTTTCAGAAAGGACTGGGGCAAGTCTGTCAGCAGGGGAACTGATCTTTGTCACCGGGAGAACAGTTGTAATGCTGGGAGATCTTCAAGGCTCCACCTAGAGGTTAACAACCCTACTTAGGCCTGCCAAACTTTTGGCTTACTTTCTCCTCAGCCTTCTGGAGGGGCGGACCACTGGCCTCTTTCCATGTCCTCACATCTGGGAATCCCCTTTCCCAAAAATTTATCTTAACATTTATGACTGCTTCACCTTCCTTTCATATCCTGAACATCTGATGTGTTCTTCCTCTCGATTCACCTAGATACGGAGCTTTGGTATCTCATCTAGGTATCTGTTTAGAGAGTTCACTGCCAGGGAGCTGTGGATGGCATTCACAGCCAGTGACAGTGCGTGGCAGGATTCCGTGGAAGCAGTCTAGGGTTTGCTCAGTTCTGACTTCCATCTGCTAAACAACAATGACTCCTTCTGTGCTACATTTCAAGTATATTTGGGGAGTGCCTGTAAGCTGAAGCGTCCCCTCTAAGTGGAGATTTAATTTTCTCATACCCCTTGGGCACAGCTGCACTGCCAACAACACGGGTCTATTAATAAGGGTACAACGTTTCTCGCTAATACATGTGGCCCAACAGAGAACTACTGTTTCCATAGCTTCTTGGGGGATACCCCATGACAACTCAGCTGGCCCATGGCTTGGATTCAAGATCTTTTTTCCCCTTGGGCTCCCCTTTACCTGTGGCGGAAGTGGACCTCCACTATGAAGCATGTTCCTCTCACGCGAGGTACTTCCCCGCTCCTTGAAAGACCTTTGTCTTGCGTGAGTGGAAGTGTCTAGCACCAGAGGGAGTGCGCTCCATAGTGGAGGACCGCTTCTACAACTGATGAAAGAGCAGCACAAGCTGAAAGAAAGTGTACAAAGCAAGCTTAAGCATTTTGTGTAGACGCTTGGTGCTACTGAGAAAGCAGGAAGTATTGTACCAATAGGGTTGGTGGACGTCTCTTGGCCCTTCTGGTGCAGGCGATAGTGGCGGGTCACTGTGCCGTGTGCAGCTTCAGCTTCCACTGTTTTGCCGTCTGGACATATCAGGACGCTGGTCATCATTCCCAGGGAACCGTAACCTGGACAGGGTAATAAAACAAGGAAAGGCTTTCACTAAAATTCTGAGTGGTCTGCACAGAAAAGTCTGCCCTGCGTGCCAAGGGGGAAAAAAAAGTAAACTACTACCATGAGCATTTCTTAACCGTCTTCATTAACACCTAAACAGATGGCCTCAACATGGAGGTTGGTTATTCCCTGTTGGTGTTCAATTCCAGATACATCTGATTGGCTGGAAACAATAATGGATCGGCTGGGTTTTAATAGTAGGATCTAGTAGAGTTCTTATATGTCACTGCCAGTGCAACTGGCCAACCTATCGCCCTGCCCGTAGCTACAGTAGGGCTGCTGGGGGCTCCGCCCCCTTCCTTAAAGGGGCAGCCCCCCAAGATTTCCTTCTGGAAATGTTTTAAAAATTATTTTAAATTATTTTTTAAACATTGAAAACAAATAAGCACCACTCAATATAGTTGTTATTACAGGATACTTCTCCAGTAATTAAGACTGCTTTTGTTCATTGTCTTTTCTCTAGATGGCTTGGAATGGTTCGGGGCACAGTATCCTATAGTATTGCTATAGAACAGAAAATACACACAGTGCATCTGAAGCAACAGTACGTAGCGTCCGGTTCCTAGTCTTTAGCCACATCAGCCCCACCAGAAACAATTTTGCCCCACAAGACACAAAATCCTGGCTACGGGGCTGCTATCACCATAGGAACACCGGTTGGCCAATCAAGTTGACCCAGTGCTGCAGTAAAAGGGGTGGATCTTACCTTGTGCAACCGAGTCAGACTGCACATCACCATCGTAGTTCTTGCAGGCCCAGATAAACCCTCCCTCGGATTTCAGGGCTTGGGCCACCATGTCGTCTATGAGCCGATGCTCGTACCAGATGTTTTGGGCTTCAAACTTTGACTTGTACTCCCTGGAAAACAAAGAGAACCCAATGTAATTCATAGTGGTTACAGATGGTGACTGCAGACTGAAAGATGAATGGAAAGTGACGTACATCTTGCATAAAGTGGAAGAGGGAGGAAAATACGACATGGGCTACAACAAAGGATCATGTACAGGCCTGTTCCTCTCCCTGTTTTTTCATCAGGAAATCTGGACAGAAACCGCCTGTACCTTTCCCCTTATATCTCTGCCCCAAAAAGGGCTGGAGACTTAACCTCAAAGAAAAAAGTACGCTGCAATGGCAGCCTCACAATGCCCTAAAAAAGGATGAGGAAAATACGACATGGGCTACAACCAAGGATCATGTACAGGCCTGTTCCTCTCCTCACTTTCCCCCAAGAAAATCCGGACAGAAACCGCCTGTACCTTTCCCCTTATATCTCTGCCACAAAAAGGGCTGGAGACTTAACCTCAAAGAAAAAGTATGTTGCAATGGCAGCCACACAATGCCCTAAAAAGGTTACTGCAATAGAAGCTTGGGAACAACACTCTTTTAAGGTTGCCTTTCTTCCTGGTCTAGCTCATGGGAGTGAGCAGCTGAAGTCCATAAGGGGAGAGCTCTGTCCAAGTCTCTCTTGATGTCCATATTGCAGGAGAGATGGGTGAAGAGCCTTTTGCCTAAGAAAAAGTATGTGAGGGTGTCTTTGGCGCCAGGGAATAAACGAAGGAAAAGGAAGAAAAACTTTGGGACCTAGGTGAGGCCCTGGGCTCTTGAGTTCTATCTTTCTTTCAGTTTTTATATGTGGTGCAGATTATGATCTTATTTTAAATCCTAAAAGACACTGAGAGACAGGGTGGTGGAGTGGTTAGACCATCAGACTAGGTTCTGGGAAATCCAGGTTTGTATCCTTACTTTCCCATAGAAGTTTGCTGGGTGAACCTGGGCCAGTTATCAACTCTCAGCCTAACCTACCTTACAGGGTTGTTGTGAGAATAAAATGGAGGAGAGAAGAATGGTGTAAGCCGCTTTGGCTCTCCATTGGGGAGAAAGGCGGACTAATATAAATGAAATTTTAAAATTCTCTCACTAACTCAAATATTCATAGTTTTCAGCTGATAAAGACAAGTTCTACAAGGTGCACAAATCAATTCACCTCCCACTGGCCTTGAGGGTGGAAAAAAGGGGTTTTGAGATTCAAGAATCAGCAAGAAAGGTTGAATTTCCTTGAACATAGGAATAGGAAGAAGATGAGGAGGAGATTGGATTTATACCCCGCCCTTTACTACCCGAAGGAGTCTCAGAGTGGCTTACAATCTCCTTTCCCTTCCCCTCCCCACAACAGACACCCTGTGAGGCAGGTGAGGCTGAGAGAGCTCTTTCAAGAACTGCTCGTGAAAGAACAGCCCTGAAAGAACTTGTCACTGACCCAAGGTCACACCAGCAGCTGCATGTGGAGGAGTGGGGAATCAAACCTGGTTCTCCCAGTTTAAAGCCTGCGCTCCTGACCACAACATCAAACTGGCTCTCAGTAACAATAACAAATAACAAAACGTTATTGATTACTTTTCATAAATCTCCTGAAAGATGTCTTTAAATCGGCCATCGTATTTCTTCAAAATAGTGTTTTTGGTGCTCATGTACAGAGGCCAGCTTTTGGTCAGTGCCATCTGGAAGGAACTGTGAGCAAAATCCTTGATGGACTGGTCCAGGTTGAACATCCCCAGAGCCACACCTCCACAGTCTGTGCCACAGAAAGAGCAAAGGAAACAAGAGTCAGGCACCATAAAACTGGAACAGCACCACAATTCATGTGACAAACACCCATATACATTTCCAACTATTATGACACAGCCCTTCTTCTACAACCACGCCACTGGGCAGAGTCTTTTCTTCATGGAAATACAATACTCTTAATAAGAAGCTGGAATATTATGAACATCAGCCATCGTGATGAAGCAGTTAGAGCAGGGGTATCAAACATGCGGCCTGGGGGACAGATCAGGGCCCTGGGGGGCTTCTAGCAGGCCCGCAGTGGAACTGGCTGTCTTCTGCTTCTTCTTCCAGTTCTGCTGCTGCTGCGTCTTCGTAGGTTTGCAGCTTACAGATACACACCTGGACAGCATACTCAGGATTGCAACAGCACAGACATTTTGATGCAATAATTCAGAGCAAGAGGTGTCAGTTATCAGAGACTGTTAAATAAACAAAATATTGCAAGAGTGCTAATATTTTTAGCATGATTTTATTTTAAATAAAAACCCCTTTGTGTCCTTTATACAGTTTACATCTCTGCTACCTGGCATTACATTTTATGACCCGCATGGCCCTGCCCAACAAGGTTGCATTTATGTCAGATCTGGCCCTCATAACAAATGAGTGACACCCCTGAGTTAGAGCTTCCAACTAGGATCTGAAGATGTGAGCCATGACTCACGAAAGCTCCTACCCTGCTGTATAGAAATATTGATTTCTAAATGTCTCCTGCATTCTCCTGTGATATCTTTCTGATAACAGGCTATGCCTTGTTTCCTGTTACAAGCCAAATGGTGGGCCCCATGGCCTCAATTGCATGCCATAAACCCACATTCTTCACACTTCCATGCTGGAAGCTAGGCCAGCATGCAAAAAGTCACGTAGCCGATGGGGAGACTGGAGTTTGGGGTCGCCTGACTGCAGAGGGAGTTCCCAGACTCCCAGCCTATCCCCACTTGCACCCATGACAACCAAGAATTGCCCACCCCC